AATGAAGTTTATAGCTTAGTACAACTATAATCATTGGGAAACATTCAATAATCTGAAATTTTAATTTGATTAGTAAAATGGATGACTTACCGATATGAAGAAAACTGTGGAGAGGATATACTTGAATACAAAACGCAAAGCACTCAAAGCTACAAAAGTTACTGAAATCCTTGCCATCGAAAAAGTAGAAGGTATTATAGTATTTGTAACAAATTTGAAGACATCAGCTAGATAAATCAAATGATTATTCAAAAATGGAAAAGACAGTTTTGTCAACGGGTTGCTGAAAATAGCGGGATGCTCGAGTTATGCTAAACTAATGTCATACCGCTATTCGACAACACTTTATACAAAATCCCGTATTGCAAAATAATAATAGTTTCTATTTGACAACACTGAAATAAAAGGTAATTCTAACTTACTGGGACAAGATTTGTGCCTGCCTCGATTCCATCCTTATCAACTCTCCATACATTCTGCAGAACTATCTCATAACCACAAAGATAATTGAAATGGAGAAATAGTTAGAGTTTATGGATAACCAAAATAGCTGAAAAAGATAGCTATGAAAAATACAACTGTCAGCTCCTCAAATATTAAATATTCCAATTCTAAAAGGCATACAATTGGCTCAGGTGAAGAAAAAATATCTATGGAACAATCCTCTCAGTTGAACATCAGATAACAACATAAAGAAAGAAGCATACTGAAAACACATTCCCGCTAGATGGTCCTTGATCTTTATTGAATGCTAGGTATGAAAAGTATGCAAGTCCTATCATAGCCTAAAATATAGCAATGAAGTTTATAGCTTAGTACAACTATAATCATTGGGAAACATTCAATAATCTGAAATTTTAATTTGATTAGTAAAATGGATGACTTACCGATATGAAGAAAACTGTGGAGAGGATAGACTTGAATACAAAAAGCAAAGCACTCAAAGCCACAAAAGTTACTAAGATCCTTGCCATCGGTCTCGGTACAGAACTCTGGCATTGCCAAAATGAAGAAAAGGAAATAAATACATGAAAAAGTAGAAGGCATTATAGTATTTGTAACAAATTTAAAGACATCAACTAGATAAATCAAATGATTATTCAATGTGGAAAAGACAGTTTTGTCAACGGGTTGCTGAAAATGACGGGATGCTCGAGTTATGCTAAACTAATGTCATACCGCTATTCGACAACACTTAATACAAAATCCCGTATCACGGAATAATAATAGTTGCTATTTGACGACACTGAAAAAAAGGTAATTCTAACTTACTGGGACAAGATTTGTGCCTGCCTCGATTCCATCCTTATCAACTCTCCATACATTATGCAGAACTATCTCATAACCACAAAGATAATTGAAATTGAGAAATAGTTAGAGTTTGTGGATAACCAAAATAGCTGAAAAGATAGCTATGAAAAATACAACTGTCAGCTCTTCAAATATTAAATATTCCAATTCTAAAAGGCATACAATTGGCTCAGGTGAAGAAAAAATATCTATGGAACAATCCTCTCGGTTGAACATCAAATAACAACATAAAGAAAGCAGCATACTGAAAACACATTACATATCAAGAAAAAAGATTCTACTTACATCAAAATACATTCTCTCCACAACAAAAACAATGTACCTAAAAATCACACAAAGAAATCTAATAATCTATCATTTTCTACAATAAAAAACTCTCACAAAAGCAACACATATTCAAATACCTTTTCCAAACCCTAAACCAGATTCAAATTAGAAACTCTCACAAAGCCCTTGCAGATCTCGTTCTTTTCAAATCACAAACTCTCACAAAATCAACATTTTTTCCAAACCCTAAACTTATAGGATGTACCCTCTCAGCATTGTCTATTTTAGTAACTTTTTAAAACACGTGACTACTCCACATTGCCAGGTTTCTTTATGCACTCTCAATGATAGTAACTTTTTAAACCATTTCAAGTAAATACAACACTGAAAAAAATTCCTTTCAAGGTTAATTCAGAAGTCCTATATGAAACAGAGAAGGAAGCCCAGCGAAAAAAAAAAGAAAGACCAACGAAAAAATGAGGTTTAGAGAAGATGTTACTACAAGATGTAGAATTATCAACACAGGCTAGTTAAATACGTGTGCTTCCTCAGTGATTTCGTTTTTTCCATAGGTGTAAACATATCAACTACATTGCTGAAAAATCTATCTCACTTCACATAATTCCTCAGGTGACGCACTACTGGTGTACTTATGGGACAATATGAGCCTTAGTGAGGTAACTGAGGATGGTTGCAACTGAATGAAATGAGTGAAACTTGTCATGTAAATAAATAAAAAAACCAATACATTTAGCTCAATTTTTGACAATTGAATAAACAAAATAATTTAAGGAACAAATAATGACCCCGTGTTCGGATTTCCGATGAATTCAACACCTAAGCTCAACAAGAGAACCAAATCTAAGATAATAAAGACAACAAAACCAAAACCATGAGCACGCTCTGTTGCGTGATCTCGCATGATCACAACCTCAATCACCTTCCCATATGTGGCAAAATACTCCCTGAGACGTTCCTCATATGCGTCCCAAGATATTCCTCCAATGAAGAGCTTGCCGAGATCGATTCCATCTGAAAATGCAGGTTAGAAATGCAGGTATTGTGCATTGAAATTATGATTAACAGAAAAACCATAATGTTGACAGAGTGACATATAGTTACAATGCCAATACTAACCTGTATTTTTCTTACACCAAGCATGTGTCAACACAATGATTATTGGACCATCAGTTTTGTTAGACATATTGTTGTTCATAAACTGTTTTTCATAATCATCCCATAACGCTACCTCAATGACATTACCATGTTCGTCATGCAGTGTGATATTGGTGCAAAATTTCTTTCCACCACCACCCATTTGAGTTTTCACCATATCTTGTAAAATCCTAATAACATCTGAAGGATCATAAAATAGGAAACAACTCATGTTAGTTACCAAGATTAATTATCGTTACAATGACAATGATAAAATAAGTATTGACAAAGAAAAAATCACCATATAACATGTCAATCTGGAATGGCCATTGAGGAAATCTCCAATAGGCTTAAACTTGTAATGATGGGGAGGTATCTTAGGTTTTGCAATTTCAATCTAGAACACACATTGAAATGCAACACATGTTACATCATACAAGTAACTCTTGCTCTGTGATTATCATCCATGGTGTGCTTTTTACTACCATTTGATTATCATTGAAATTTATCACTCCGACAAATGAGCCCTGTTCAACATTCAACAAACAACGGTATCGCTTCAGATTAAAAATAAATTTCAGATCTGAAACCTAAACATGAACAAAAATATTTAATAACATATTAAAATATACCTTCACTCCATTCAAATCAAAGAAAACTAAAAGAGCAGGAAACAGGATCTGAGCTTGTTTCATCTTTGAGATACTGATGGTTGCAGATAAGGTGGAAACAGGACGGCGACAATATAATGTTTCGGGAAAGAGAGAAACAAGGACGAGGGAGAAAGGGGGCGGCGGTTAGGGTTTGAGAGGAAAGAGGAATGAGAGAAACAGGAAGGGGAGAGAGGGGAAAAAATAGAGAGAGAATATGAGAAAGAGGATACGAGAAAGAGAGAGAAGGTGAGAGAAAGAGAGAAGGTGCGAGTGAGAGGGAAATGCTAAGAATTTTTCAAAAAACTTTTGCCATTTGACAAAATAAAATGAGTTTTTCTGATTGGGTGATGAATTATTATTTAGTAAATTACATAAAAGAGGTTTAAGTAGTGTAAATGAAAATTTAGTGAAAAGATATAAATGATAGATTGCTGACAATGAATAATAATAGATAAATAATTGATTCATCACTATTAAGTTAATTTTATTCTTGCTGGAGCATGAGTATTCATTCTACTGGCTTATATTTAAAAACAATAAGAGTGTAATCTAATTTTCTTTTAACATGTACTATTGCAAACCAACTCGCCCCCAAAATTTATGACCATATCCAAGTGCCAATATCGAAGCAAATTTGTGTTCATGCAAGTAGCATTAGAGGGACCTACTTGTAAGAGACGTCCGTGAAAGAGGGCCCATATATATGGCGTCAATGGTCACCTCCTTAATTATGTTTTTATCCAATCATTCTCTACCACAATAATTTAAATCATACAATTGCCATCCATAAAAAATCATGTTATTTTGTATTATAAATTTTAAAATAAAAAATTGTGTTATAAATTATTTTTTTGAATTATAAGAAATTGAATACATGATTTTTAAATTAATGCATTACTCCATACAATTTACAACTTGACGGAGATTCATGATTTAATAAATGGACTAACAGAAACTATAGAGTTTTTAATAATTTTAATTTATTTATAAGGTAGTAGCGCATGGCATTTTAAGATGAAAATGAAGGTTTATTTAACAAATATTCCAGTATGATGAACAAATATTTTGTGAAAGAAATTAATGCCTATAAAAACTTCTCAGGGCGGGCCCCACCTATCAGTATCACCGTCCTTACACAACGCTGTCATTTTCAAACCTACTCAGATGGACAAAGTCGGCCGTAGCTTCCAACGTGGCATTACTAATCTTCACATCAAAGCTGACGTGGCAGAGAAATCCTACAAACCACAAACCACTGCAAGTGGAACTCAAACAAATACCAAAAACTCATTTAATATTTCATTTCACATCCGCCACGTCACCGTTATTATTCTCAATTTCTCATACTATTTATGTAACAACATGCCCAATTGTATCTGTTTGGGGCATCTCTTACTACCACCTATTGAAGATATTATTTCTCTCTCTAAACCGCTCGTTCTGTTTCTCTCTCTAAAACCCTTCACAACGCAATCTTCATTTCTTTTTCAATCTGTTGTATCTACTGTGATTTCTCGTTAGCGATTCTACGCATTTGGTTCTGATTTTGCGACGAGAGCTAGGGTTACGGATTTTCCTTTTCATTGGATTATAGTTTCGGATAATTCTTTTGACATGGCGAATCGTAGAGGAAAAGATTTGATTCATAGCGACGGGGGAGATCCTGCGGAATCGGATGTCAATTTCGAAGATTCTTCGTCCGTGAAATCAGATGGTGGAATCGCTGAGAATAGCTCTTCGCCGGGAGATGACGGCGGTTCGAGGAGTGAGGTTGGACTTACGGAGCGGTTGACGGATATTATTGTTGAAGAAGGCGACGGCGATCTGTTGATTCAGCAAACTAACTGTGAAGACCGGTTGATGGAGTGGCTGCAAGCTCTTGATTTGCAAGTTATGGGAGCGTGTCGAGCTGACGAGCGGTTGAAGCCTTTGTTGAAGATGAATACTGTCTCTGGCGTTTCTGAAGATCCGTTATTGGCTCAATTGATTCAGGTATCTTGAAGCTTTGGTTTGATGAATTCTTCAATGTGATCGTGTGATGGTTGTGATAAAGTATCTCCGTGTTCTGTGCAGCATTTTGAGCCATCGGAGGTTGGTATGTTGGCTAGATGCTTTTGCTTGCCTCTTGTTTCCATCCGCGTTGGGAAGATCAACAAGGAAGGCACTCGCTTATGTCCTACTGCTAATAGGTAATATATTATTTGAAAACTGTATGGATGTCTTTCTATTGTTATCACCTTGTAAGGGGGAAAATCGAATAAACCATCAATTTTGATCCTAAATTATCACTCTCCCTAATTTTGTAAGTTAACTGTACTAATATTATAAGTAGATTGTAGGTATATAAAGTCTGTCAATTTAGTATTAACATCTTAACAGCAGATACTAGATGGACATGTTTTTATATGTTTTAAAGGCTACTTACTATTTTTACATAGTTCAGGGACTGATTGGAGAAATGTGATAGTTTATGAGTCTGAATTGATGGTTTATCCGGGCCAAATCTTTTCAACTCTAATTTTTTTCTTTATATTAGGCGTCTGTTTTTCAAATTATTTTTTTACCATGCATTCTATAGGATTGAATATGCATTTCCGACATTTGTATACTCGTTTGCTTGATAAATTAAATCATTCTCATATCAGTAGAGGCAGTTGAAAAAATTACCAAATCACAATATATAAATATAAATGACAGTTATTGTGAGCGGAGTCTTCTAGATACTCAAACATTCAGCCTAACAGGGAAGGTGACCCTTGTTGGCATGCCATACGAGAGATGCTGGTTCACCATCCGGGTAGAAAACGAAGTATAGGAATAAAGCCTCCTATCTATGGTAGTAGCTGTTGCAGCAAGAAATAAGGAACATAATATTGATACTTTTGTAGTTTCTTTTGCTAGGGTAAAGCAAAGAGCGATGACTTTTTGAAAAAGCTTTTGTTTAATGATCTCAAGGTTGGGAGGAATAAGGGAGAGGGATAATACCTTATGGATAACCCGGGAACACTCCTTACTTATGCTTTACCCCTAGAAGAGCTGATGCCACTCAGTTAGAAATTTCTGCTAGTGAGTATTATGATTTGTATTCATAAACTTCAGAATTTCGTGGCAATGCTTTCCTGTTCCCCCTAATTTCCTAAGACATGTTGGCCTACACTATTATTATTTGGTCACCTTTTTTTTCTGAGCTAATGTATGAACTGTTCATTAGAAAGAGCACAGCCGTAGATGTTCAGATTATGTATATTCCCTCAGCTAAAGGCACTTAGGGCTGGGCAAGCGCTGAGGTTCAGTTGTGGACTTTCTGGTTCTGGAAGAGAAAAGTGGTCTGAAGTATGCCTGATTTATGTCAAATTGCAATCTTAATTTTGTCGATCTAGATTTTTATAACAATTAGGTTTATTGAGTTTATTTACACTGAATCTGTCGTCCCACAGCCATGAATTAATTAAATTTTATTAGTTCTGTTTAAGTTTAAGAAGTTAAGATTCAAATTCAATGATGTTGTTTTTCTTGCTGACTATTCCATAACACAGGCTTCAATTAACATGGGCATAATTTCTTTTATGGCTATCGGCCAATTCATAGATGTGGTTGATGTATCTACTTGTTATACTTATAGCCAATTACTTCTCATTTTATTATACTTTGTTGCTGTTCTGAAAATTGAAATTGCATTTACCTGTCTCAGTATGCTATATACCAATTGAGATATCTATTATAATGAAACTTTGCTTTCCATTTCGTCCTACTGACTGTCTGCAGCACAATATGAAACTCCCTTTGCGGTTGGATACTTTTTTTAATTATTTTTCTTTACTCATTGTAATATAATCTTATTGAGAAATGTGGTTAACCTATTGCAATGTGTAGTTTGTTTTAATAATCTTTAGTAATAACTGGAGTCAGTAGTTTAGTTCATTGATGGTAATATGTTCTTCCAAGTAAAAATATCTTTTGACTTGTAGGTAACTGGACGTATTCTATTATGATCTCTGAAATAAGAGGAAGTAAAGGTAGTTTCATGATCCTATATTATATATATTGCTACTGTTCAGATTTTTAGATCACTTCACTCTAGGTTTGACGCTTTTATATGGGGGGAATTACTAATTGACTAGGATATTAGGTTATATGCAAATTAGTGTCATCTCATTTATTTGCATATTCTTAATCTGTTATTTTGTGTACTTGATATACCATGTATTGTCTGCCTTTATATGTATATGATATTCCATGTTGTACATGTTTAAATTAAGATGCTTGACATGTTATTATGGTTAACTCTCCCCCAAAATTTGGCATCAATATGATATGGATTTTGTATGGTATTTGATTTTGTTTTTTTTAATGTTTGTTCTAAACTAAACTTGTTGAAAAAATATTTAGCAGAAAGTGGTTAGGACTATCTCCCTATGAGGAAGATTTTTTTGTATTTACAATGGTGAAAAGGGTTCAATTTGTCAGTCAGTAAGGTTGACCGTTTCATTAATATGGGGCAGTATTTCTATTTCAAAAATACCTTCTGGTCACTGACTTGGAATTTTTCAGTTCAAAGCAAATGCCTTTGTGCCCTAAACTGATATGTTCAGTATTCCGTTAAAAATTAGAAATAGCTGTGCTTTTAAGATGCCAATGATTTCAACTTCTATTAGGAGCTTTATACCTTGGTGTTTTAGGAATGCTTATTAGAAGGAAAATAGTGTTGGCAAATTAACTTCGACAAATTCATTTGGTTTTTCTGTACTTGAAAACATTGTAGTGATGAAAACATAGTCTGCTTTTATTGGGAGAAAAGATTACTGCTACTTTTTTTTTTTAAAAACTTTTGTTTTTATTTGTAACTTAAAACATATATGGTTCATTGGAAGGTTTTTTTAAATAAATTTATTGTGGGCTAAGTTTGGACTTTGAAGGCTCTGCATCACAATTTATGTAAAATTAATACATTAATTTTTTTATTTCTTGTTATTTATCTTCATTAGTATGCATTTATGATACATTTATAACTTAACATGTCATCTTTATTTGTTCACAGGGGTAACTTGACACTTGTTCTACTACCAAGCTCTGATCTTCGTCTCTCATTCATTGGGGATGATGGTAAAACCGAGAGATTATTCACTCTTTCTAGCAGATCCCAATGCTCTGCTGTTGTGGTTGAGGGAATCCTAACTGACAGCTCTGGCCGATCCTTCCATGTTACTACTCCTGATGACAAATCTTTTTTCTTCTGGTGCTCTGAAAAGTCTAAACTGCTAGGAGTTGAATTACTTGCAAAGGTAATTTTTGTTATTCTTGGCTTTTAATTAGTGCATGCTATTTGACATGATAACTAGTCTGCAATCTTCCCAATTTCTCATCATTTCTGGTAATGTTTTGAATATTTCCATCATTGATTATTGATATCTTGTCATCAAACTCATTTTTTCCTATAAACCAGATGAAGGATTTACTCAAGAGGAAACCATCAATTGCTGAATTGAGTGGTATTAGTAAGTCACGGCTTGATTGTTTTGCAACTCAGCTTCGTGCTTTTCTTGTGGGGTCAACTGCAGGAGGTAGTCATGATGGTTCAGCCTGTGCTTCAATGTCTGCCAATTCCATGACATACTGTGATGTTGTATTTGAAAATTCACACTCTTCATCAAAATTTCCTCGATCTCGACAAATTGTACAGACAACAAAGGGAGATTCAGTGGTTTACCAGAGTATTCTTAGTCCAAGGTCAAGTTCTTTTAAAGAGGCTCCCTCAAGAAACTTGGCTTCCCATAGGATTGCTGCAAGGGAGAAGATTAAGCGCCGCGGTGACAATCATCAGCCAGCAGCTGACAACTTGGAATTATCATCAACTTCTGATCACGACAAAGCTTCGGAAGTAACTATAACTCATGCATTCTCTCCAAATTTTATGGGATCAGCAGGAATGTTTAGTGTTCCATCAAGCCTTGGAGCAGGTGGGGAAGTTCTCCCACCTGTGGTGTCCCCTCTTTTTTCTCCCTACTATTGTTGGTGCCCACCTGGGATTTCTTCTACCTTTCCATCCATTGCAGCACTTCCACAATCTCCCATGTCATTTGCTGGATCACAGCCTCATGCCTCAGGGACCCCTCTACTACCCAACACCCTCGCTGCAAGCCTGTTTCAACCAATACAGCCTCTCAATCTTGGTACTTCAATGGACTTTCCTCCATTTTTTCCTGAACCACTAGTCAGAATGTCTTTACCAACTTCTCAACAGATTCCCATTTTCACACCACTAATGTGTGATCCAATTGTGCATGTCCCAGTAATTGATATCTGTTCTTCGGGGCAGGGCTATCTTGTGAGTGCTGGTCCTGCAATGTCAACTAGTATTCCACCAATGCATCCAAAACTTGTGAACCCACTAATTTCTGAATCTGATGCTGTGGTGAAAGGTGCAAGAGAGACACTAAGGTTGCTGATTAGTGGATCAAGCCAGGGTAACCAACAACAGGTTATGATGAACCCTTTACCAGTAATTTTGACCAATCTGGATGAAAAACAAAACAATGTACTTGTTGCTGGCAGCCGAGGTCTTTATACAGGAACACGAGATATAAATGTTATTGCAAACAGCATTGCTGCTATGGGATTAGTATCATTATCTGGTGTATCTTCCAACGGAGACAATGAAGGTGATTCAGAGGTATGTGGCAACTTTGGGATTTTGGAAGCAATGAAGAAATCAAATGATGCAGGTGGTGCCTTTTCGGACGAGGGCGGACCACCCTCTTTGGATTCCAAGTAGTTACAGTTCGGAATTTTATTATGTTTTTCCTTTTGTTGATCTCTCCCTTGTCCAGAAAATGTAGATATGTGCTGTAGCCCTATTGAATGGAGTTAGTGCAAGTTCAATGATTCTTGAGCCGTTATTGATCTTTAAATTGGTTAGAGTCTTCAATTGACTAGAAGTCTGTTATTGACCCACGGTAGTAATGTCAAATCGAGGATTCACTTAAAAAAAAGAGAATTCTGTAATTGCAAAGAATAGTTGCTTTGATCATCTAATGAAATAAACTAGTGCAAATTTCATGATTTTTGAGCCGTGACCTCATGTAGTATGCCTTAATTGATTAGAAATCCTTCATGATTACTTTCCGGTCTATAGTGAAGTTCCACCACGAGATTTCACATTGAATTGAAGGAAAGAGGAAAAGAGAATAGAAGAAAAGATAATCTCAAATTAAATATCAAGTTTTTTTTTTCATAATACAAAATTCTTTATAGATGGTATAAGACATTCATCAAACGAATCTATGCTACAAAAATTTGATAATTATAATTATCTTTATATTAATTAACACTTATTCATCATTCTTTGCATAAACATTTTAGAAAAATATAAAAGGGTCTTTTATTTTTCTCTCCAAGTTGATACCTTTTAATTTATATATTGAGTAACTATTATTCAAGTTAAAAAAAAGACTAATAGTTATATGAGTCTAATATTATCTCAATGTTTCAAGAAAAGAATAAGCCTAAAAGACTAATAGCTATGTGAGTCTAATAATAGTCTAATAATATTGATTCAATTTCTAGCAATACATTAATACATTTATGCAGTGTTTTAAAAATCGGATCGGTTATTGAATTGGCGAGGGTATTTGGTCACTGGTTTATCGGTTGAATCATTGGGTCACTGGTCGAACCGCATGAGGATAACTTGATTGAATAGAATTGTCATTATATAGATATAAAACCGGTCGAACTGGATGATTCAGTTTCTAAAAAAATATAACTAGTACTTAAATTTTTTAAAAATATCATATCATAAATTCACAAGTTCATAATTTAAATTCAAATTTCAAACAAATGTATCACACATAACAAAATAAAAAATTACAAAATCTAATTGCAACAGCTTCCCCATCAATAATATCATTTATTGATTATTATGAAATAAGAGGTAACTATTTTAAGTAAAATATGATTCTTCTAAAAAGAAAACCAAATAAAATTCAATATGTTTATGGTATTTCACCTTCCCTTTCAACAAAATACATGTCTTTTTCTATTGTTAATATTTTGATACTAAATATAATTAATTATAAATTATAATTAATTAAAATTATTAGCAGTGACAAAATATAAAAAGATAAAATATATAACAATCTAAAAAGTTAAAATAATAAGGTAACTAATTTGTTACTAACCTAAGTTACAAACTATTTAGGAAAATATATATTAACAAAAATAACAAATAGCCAATAAAGTCTGTAATTTGTCATTAACGAAAAAATTTTATGTGAGAATGCTATTTAAGTAATACACTATTAAGTATATTAAAATTTTTTTTTTTTTTTTTAAAATTTTTAAGAAAAAAAACAAAAAAAAAACAATTAAATCGCCAGTTTAGCAAACCGCCGGTTTTCCCGGTTCAAACCGGTTCAACGGCAAGGTCGATCCGTCAATTGAATTAGGCCGACTAGTGTCTCAGTTCTCGATCCAACCGGCCGGTCCGGTTTTTAAAACAGTATTTATGTAAAGAGTATTAATAATGTATCTAAAATAAATTTAAGAGAATCAATTTCAAATGTTGGGCCTAAACACTCTTAATAGTATGGGCCTAAACAATCTTAATAGTACGTGTCAAAATAGGAACAGTTAACCTATCATTCACTTATACCTAACACTTTTTAATTTGGTGAAATTTCTTTTTTTTGTCTTTCAATTTTTTTTTGAAAATTATAGAATTTCCAGTTGGATATTGGAAATTTTCAAAAATTTACGTGGTAGTTCATGTGAGACACACGGAATTTTTAAAATTTTTGATATTGACAATCGAAAGTTTTAAAATTTTTAGTAAAAGTATGTCAGAAAAATAATAATTACGTAAAATGATCAAAACTATTGAAAAATTTAAATTCTAAAGAAGAAAAAAGTGATTTTTTTTTGAAAAAATAATAAATTTTTTAAATAAATATTAACAAGAGTATTTTTGAAATATTAAAAATATGAGAGAGGTACTAGATATAAAATGGAGGGCAACAAATTAAAATCTTTCAAAATTGTCTATGAGCAACCTAAAATAGTATAGTATTTAGTGAAATTCTTTTTCCACCCGTACAATCTCTCAAGTATCCCTTGATTAGATGAAAAATGTCTCTCGTATTTTAGAATCTGCAGCATGTTTTAGAAGCATTCAAATTCTAGAATCTAAAATTATTGAATACATAAATACTCCATTAAATTCAACATCTTATATGTCAAACACAAAAAGTAAATTATGGATAATTAATAATACCACTTAAATACAAACAAAATTATAGATAAGACATTTTGTTGCTTCTTTATCTGACTCAGCTATCCGCGCTGCAATTTTATCAAATGTCATAGGACAAATCAATCTTTAACAAATAGTATGGACAAATATTAACAAGGTAGCATCTAATTCGATAGATCTCTTGGTACTATTGTAACCAAATATTAAGATCATAATTCTCACATCATGAAATTGTATGTTGGCGAACTAAATAAGTCCTTTATCGTCCATTGGCGCATGATGATACTCAAACACTAACCACCATTTTTGTGTTGTGGTGATTGAGACATAATTTTTTGATCTCCTTTATATTAGAGAATGTACCATTAACATTGATATTGAATAAAAGGGGAAGGAATTCCATTGTTGTAGTAAACTAGATCTTTGTTAGATTTTATTATGCTAGATTAGGATAAGAAGAGTTCATTTTTTTTATGTGAACTATAAAAAAAGAATCAAACACACCACCTTATACCATTTTTTGTTGTCTATTTTATAGTTTAGAAAGTGTCATTGCAATTTAAATCATACAATAGAATCTAATTGATTGACACATTTCATAAATCAGAATTATGCGACCGTTGGGTTCAAAATATAGAATCCAAATTCAAATGATACTAATCTTAATGATTTTGAATTCTATAATTCAAAAATGTCCTTTACAACATCCGAGTCCATGTTTTGATTATATTCTTTTTGAATGGAGTTAGTGCAACTTATATGAATCTTGAGCCATGATGCCATACATTATATATATATATATATATATATATATATATATATATATATATATATATATATATATATATATATATATATATATATATATATATATATATATATATATATATATATATATATATATATATATATATATATATATATTAAATTGGTTAAAAATACATCATGGTATTGCACAGTCAAATGGTAAATTCAACTTTTGTTGTTGCAAAATTCATCGATTGATTTTAACATTATAATATTAGACTTTGCAATATCATTTGACTTTAACGCAATTAGATGAAATTTAGCTAGGTTGATGGCAATTTAGCTATATTTGCAATTAGATGAAATTTGTAGATCATTTGTTTTAAGACACAGTTTTTTATATTTTAACAACCATAATGCTTTTCCTATAGCATCTAATTGTATCTTTCATGAAACCACATAGTATCTCAAAATTGATCAACATTTGGTGAGAGAAAAGGTTTAACAAGGAATGTTAGATTGCTTCCAATCCCTTCTCAAATACAACTTGGAGAATTTCTTACAAAGCATTTATCTTCAACAAAGTTTAACTCTTTTATTTTCAAGCCCGGTATATTCAACATCTACCATGATGCAGTTTGTGGAAGGGTGTTAAAGAATGAGTTTTTTCTTTTTATAATAAAAGCATTCAAAATATATAATAATTGGGAGTACTAGGGATATTTCAACCCAATAAACAAAATCGATGTAAACAACACCAACCCCTACTGACGAGATTACAGAAAATCAATAGGACATTTTAGTCTGTCATAAAAAGAACACTTAAGATTATGTTTATTCCTAAGTGACAACTATAACCAAGATAAAAATATAATTCTATTGAATAGCATATGGGTTATACACTTCAGATGAAAATCAACAAAATTAATAATAAACTTTATTACATAGAGTACCATACATATTTTTAAGTCAGGAGAGTTTATGTGAAGGGTTTTGTCTTTACTAATTCTGGTTAGTTTTTTCATCGGTTTAATGGTCTCTAATGAAATCACCACTTCTTTGAAGTTGGCAACAACATCTTTGTTATCCTCGTTCTTCTTAGGATAATCCTCCTTTTATTTTTCATAAAGGCTTCTTTTTTGGGTATTCTTTATCATTGTCGTCATCTTCTTCATTATCATCACCAAATCCCTTCAGTAGTAGCGTCTTCGTTGTGCCATTGATAGTAACATCATGTGGATTGGATTTGGGACTCAAGTTTGTTTTATTAAACCCCACGGTGGGCGCCAAATGTATACGTTGGATACACTGATTGATAATTCTACCTTTGCTAGGCTAGTTAGAATTGCAAATGTCACTTTGAGTGTCAGTCGTATGAAAATGTGTGTGCCTTTTCCTCTATGACCACATCCTTTATATAGCAGTCTTGGTCTTTTCTGTTAGAACACAGATTGGTTCTTAATAATAACTCTTTGTTTTGATGATAACTGTTAGGAAATTTATATTTAAGAATTATATACTCTAAAATTTGTTTGAGAGTTTTACTGCAGATTGAAATAATATTAACTCTCTAGAAGCAAATCTGTTTTGGATACAAGAAGTTATTCTGACTCTGAAGCGCCAGATGCACCTTACAGAAGAATCTGATTGCTCCTTACAGAAGATCCTGAGCGTAGTCTCCAGAAGGATCTGAAGCAAGAAGCTCCAGAACATTCTGAGTCAGAAGCATCTGAAGATAATCAGAAGCATTTGAAGCTGAAGCATCTGAAGCATAGAAG